CAAAGTGGAATACTAGATTCTTTTTCTGGTTTTTGAACCATCGTTATGCCAATTTCTTTTTATTTATATTAAAAATAATATATTTCTTTTTTATTACCGTTGTAGTACCTAAAGTAATAAAGTAATAAAGATACCCGGCGCGCCTCTTTGGTGTTTACATTTCACCGAAATCCAACTCAAATGGCTGATGAACACATTTTAACTTCATAGAGGTCATTCTATTTATTTGTAGGAGCGTTTACGTAATTTTTTTTGTTATTTTCGGATTAATTTTCACAATAAATTTTGCGTCTATCTGAACATCTACTAACTGAAATAATTTTAGTTTATATGTCATAGTAACACAAGATCCTTTTTTATGGAATAATAATTAGACCAATTTACTTTCATACTTCTACTTGTACAGTAAAATATTCGTTGTAGCAATAATTCCAAACAGTCGTATATTCGTGAAATAACCTAGACACTGGTAAATACTATTATAAATTACTCAAAGACTATTGTAATCAGCAAAAAACACACCCAGGGACAGTACAGAGGCGCTATATTAGCAATTTATTGCCAAATTTAAAGTATAGTTAAAGTATAGTAAAGAGGGCGGTATCAATCTAAAATCCGATTAAGACTGCAGCCCCACTTCTTGATTGGTGGTAGAATACATTTCTAAAATACATTCTAGAATACACTTCGCTCAGATCTATAAATACAAATCTTTTATAACAATAGGTGCGAGAGGTATACCGACCCTCCTTTGCAATTAGGTAATTAATGTAATGGACAATAAAATTATTTCAATTTGAATATTTCTTAACTAGTAATTATTTTGTGAAAACTAACAATTTTATTGTATTTACCAAAACTTAAATTTCATTTATTTTATATTCATAAAAGCAGCTCAGTATTCGATTACTCTTAGCAATGTACTTATTACTACAATTAGATTCAATTTTTTAAAACAGGTAAAATTTTTAATTTTTGTAATAAAGTACACAGAGTAGCATTTGAGGATGTTTTTAATTAGGGTAAGTTACGAAAGCAATGACTAGGCTCTTAAAATATAGTAAAAATCTAGCAGAGCACTCTTGTATTTCCAAAAAAATTTCGCATTAAGCTAGCGTGAATGCGTAGCTTGTTGTATGTTTCCCATTAAATATGGCTTAAGGGTATAAAATTATAAGGTTGGATAAAATTCAGTAAAAACCTGGCAAGCAATTTATACTTTCAGTCACAAGAAGAGTACAGTCAAATTGTAAAAATAGATTTTTTATCACCTTAAATATTAAACCGAACGGAATTATCGATTTTTCATAAGGAGTAGTGAAGGGTGAATAATTACTACACTAAAATCACAATCAAGTTTCACTAGAAGTAAGCAAACCAAACCATTATTTATAATGTATAAACGTTGTAAATCATGTTTATACAATGTATATACATTGTAAATCATTATTTCAGAGTGCTCCTTGTAACGTTTAACGTGTCTTGGTTTCTATATTTCTAGTGCATCTCGATTGTAATTAGTATAGTATGGTAATAAATTCATAAAAATCTAACATAATGCAGTGCATGAATTGGAAAGCCAGCAGAATCCCTCCCCTCACGGGTGATTTAATGATAAAAAATTATTAGGGTGGTAATAAATTAGTAAAAAATGGGTAAAAAATATACCATTGGAAAATTTTTTTTTCTGAATTCTACTAGCCTAAACTTTAAGCCAGCAGAATCACTCCCATTAAATGTGATTTGGTGGTGAAAAATTATTAGGTTGGTAATAAATTAGTGAAAAACGGGTGAAAAAATATTCCGTAAGCAGAATGTTTTTTTTTTCGAATTCTGCTGGCTCGAACCTTAAGTCAGCAGAATCGCTTCCGTTAACGTTGGTTGGGTGGTGAAAAATATTAGGGTGGTAATAAATTAGTGAAAAATGGATGAAAACATATTAAGTAGGTTAACTTGGATTCCACTTATTTGTCCTCGCTAGCTTAAGGGTCCTATATAATTTAGAACTCGACTTTGAAGTTGGTATTTTATTTTTTTAGTGCGCGAAATCCCCCATCCGCAACTTCAAGCTTACGCAATTGGAGCTCCTCATTTGTATACGACTCTGGTTCTAGGCATCTGTTAATCTTTTTTTAACTTTTAACATTAAAGTGTAGTTCTTGATATTTTAAAATGTCGCTTATTGGGTTTCTTAATTGTTTTAAATAAACATCACATTCATTTTATTAAAGAAGTAAATATCTTCGTGCCTAATAATTGTCGTAGGACAAATTCTTTTATTTTTAATTTGTGTGAAAAATCCAGCTTTACAAATGTGAAAAAATAATGTTTTCATCAATTACCTGCTAATTTTATAATATTGTTTCAATCTTATATAAATTATAACATTCCTTATGGCTATTTATTTTTAATCATATTTATATGCTCGTTTAACCCGTAACCACAGACGCGGAGTCAATTTGACTCATTGCAAGTACGTAGTGATGAGTTTCGAGATTTCCCCCACTCTATATGGCCAGGCGTAGATGTACCTTTTCAACGATCAGTATTCAACGGTTAGTGAGACGGCTGTGTCGTTTGTATATGTTATTTGCATTTTATTACGACTTCAGTTTTCGACGGAGTCAAAAAGACTACAGGTCTGTGATAACGTTATATTTCTTGTTTCCATATTTTATTAAATCTGCTCGGTTTATTTTAGGTTTTAGTAATGGATTTCGAAAGTAAAGGTGGTCCATCAAAAAGAATCAGATATGGCGATGCAAACTATGAAGAAACTTTGCTGAAATGGGCGGATGAGGTCGATGAAAAACGATGAGCGATGCTGATTCAGATTCCGAATTTATTTATAGCGGTCATGAAAGCGATTCGGAGCAAGAAATGGAGGATAATTGTGAAAGACTTTCTAGTGAAGATGAAGGCGTAATAGAAAAAGGTGAGCCATCGCATGAAGTTTCTGTGGAAAACTATTTTTACGGAAAAAAAACCGTTTCAAATGGTCCAAGATATCCCCGTATTCTAAAAATACACGCACTTTGCAACATAATATTGTAATTAAGTGTCGGGTATAAAAATTACAAAAATTCATAAAGTGATCCAGAAGAAATTTGGAATGTGTTTTTTGATAACCGCATTATTCACATTATTCTTGAATACTCAAATTTACGCCTGGCAAAATTGAGGGAGAAATATCAAAACAAAAATTCAAGTGATATTCGGGATTTAGATATTGTTGAGTGAAGGCTTTTATTGGAATGCTTTTGCTTACAGCTATCTTCAAATCTAATCACGAAGATATTCGTTCAATTTTTGCTACTGATGGATCGGGCAGAGATATATTTAGATGTGTGATGAACTCGAATCGTTTTGCTGTCATACTCTCATGCTTACGATTCGATGACCCAGAAACTAGACTCGCACGAAAAAAGGATGATCCTTTAGCTCCAATATCCGAGATATTCAACGCTTTCGTTAAGAATTCCCAAAGCGCTTACACTCTAGGTACAAACACATGTATTGATGAAATGTTAATTTCATTCCGAGGACGGTCAAGGTTTAAGATGTACTGTACATGCCAGCAAAGCCTTGTAAATATGGGTTGAAAATGATGGCGTTGACAGATGCTAGAACTGGATATTTATATAATGCATATATATATATATATATATATATTATATATATATATTATATATATATATATATATATATATTGTGGTAAAGATTCAGATGGGTTCGATTTGCCAGAAAATGAAAAAAAATATTCTAAGCCTACGCAAGCCGTTCTCAAACTTGCTAAGCCAATTTTCGGCACGCACAGGAACATAACCGCTGATAATTGGTTTAGTTCCATAGAGTTAGTGAATTTATTAAAATCAAAAGGTCTAACATATGTTGGAACATTGAAAAAAAATAAGCGTGAAATTCCAGTTAGCTTTTTACCAAAAAAAGAAAGATCTGCAGGTTCTAATTTGTACGGTTTTACCAGTGACATTACCTACTTTCTCACGTTCCAAAGAAGCACAAGGCCGTTTTGTTAGTCTCATCAATGCACCATGATGAAGGAAACATAGGAGAATCGGGCAAACCGGAAATAATCGACTTCTACAATCTAACAAAAGGGGGAGTGGATAGCTTGGATGAAAAGTGTAGTGTCTATTCAACGGGTCGAAGAACGAGGCGTTGGCCAATGGCAATTTTTTATAGAATGCTGGATATTTCGATGTTAATTCTTTTTTGGTTCATCAGTCGTGCCGAGACAATGTGGAGCTGAAACGTTTCGAATTCAATAAACAACTTGCAATGCAGCTAGTAGAACCAGAAATGAGACGTCGTTTTCAAATATGCACATCAGTCGGGAAGCCAGAATGTGTATTGGTCGTGTTTTAAAAATAGAAATAGAATGCTCTAGTGCTAACCAGGAAGAAAAATTTGAAGTCAGAAAATACTGCAAGCGTTGCCCAGCTAAAAGAAGACGAAAAACAGCACATTTTTGCATAATTTGTAAAATTCCAATATGTATGGATTGTACCAAAAGGGTTTGTGTGGAGTGTGCACAATGAAAATATACGTTGGGAAAACTTACTGCACGTTTCCATAATATTATTTTTATGTTAATTTCTAATTAATGTAATTGTTATGTTGTATGTTTTTAACAAATTTTGAATAAAAACTGCTTAGCAAGTTTTTTTTTTTTAGTTAAAAATATTGCGAAAAATAATGTATCAAAATTTTTCAAAAAATGTATGCATTACATTTATTTCTCTACAACTTGATTGCGTTTCATTAAAATACATCCATAATTATATTAAACAGTAATACTTATACCCTACTTAAGCAATATAAGGTAGAGGTAAGCTTAGTTTTCCCCATAAATTTTTTTCAGTTATTTAAATATAGGAGTCATTTTGACTCAACGTCTGTGGTAATGTTCAGTTAGTTGGACGTCTGTGGTTACGGGTTAAAAAATATTGCATTAATACAATATTTTTAATTTTTTTTAGCTAAGACCTTAAACGATAAGTGTGTTGCAGCTTATGAACTTGCCAAATGCATGTACTTTTGCAATCCTGAGGTAATTAGATAAAATACTACAAGTTTATAATTAATAACTTATAATTTTTTTTTACAGAAGTATTTCCTCCCCTAAGCTTTACTGGATACGTGGTCACAGTGTTTATTATAAATTTAAAAAAATAAATAGTTTGTAACAAATCAGTGTTTTATTAATTTATCACGAATTTTAATAATGTCAAAAAATGCATTTAACCCATTAGTTCCCAACGTTGCGTAAACGCAACATTTTTAATTGTATTTTTTTTAAACACATCACCACTCAAATATAATTTTTATTACTACATTTTGTTTAAAACATTATATAAAATGCAAATCTAATAAAATATTTTGAAATAATTAAGAAGGTATATATTTTTTAATTTAGTGAATATTAAAAAAATCGCAAATTTTTTTTTTATATTTGTTTTGTCGATGTAATTTCCGTACTAAACATAAAATTATATTTTTGAAATTATCAATTTAAATTAATATATCTATCAGTATAAAAGATGTGTATCGTGTTTCGTATTTCAAAAATTATTTTTGGTTTTTGCATACTTAATCGATTTCAATAATGTTGCGTTTAAGGGACGTTGGGATTTCCTGTAACAGGCGCCGCCAAGTCGACAGAATAACGGATTTACATAATAAAATTTAGATTTTGCATTTTTGTTTGTACAACAATTCTTATTTGATTAAATAAATGAAAAGAACATGTAGTTTGGTGCAAAAACACAGTTTGGTTTGAAAAACAAGTGCTTATGAAAACGAGTTAGGTCTAGGAGAAAACGTTGTGCTGGATTTGTTGTCAGTGATTGAACGAAAATCTAATCATCGCATATTTTTTGATATTTTTTTTTCATCTTACAAGTTAATCGGTTTGCTAAAAAAAAGGATTTTACGCTGCTTGGACGATCCGCGAAAACCGTACTTGTTTTAGTACAATGGAAAGTGTAAAAAATACTAAAAAACAAGATCGTGGTACTGCCGATTTTTTTACGATTCTGAACAAAGTGTATTGTTAGATAGATGGAGCGACAATTCTGTAGTGACAGTTGCAATAAATAATTGTACCATTGAACCTCTTGCAAAAAGATATTACAGAAAAGAGAAAAAAATCCAACTAATTCCTCATTTAAAACTGATAGCTGAGTATAATCAACATAGGTGGTGTTGATTTGCATGATAACGGCATAACAAATTACAGACTAATGGTAAAAGGAAAGAAATGCTGGTGGCCCCTTTTTATAAATGTGATTGATAGTGTTATTGTTAATGCGTGGAAAATATATAACGTAGCAAATAAAACCAAAATGTCACAATTAGATTTTAAGTCTTACATAGCAGTTACCCTTGTGAAAATGGAAGTACCGCTCATCGAAGATAACGTTCAACGAGAGGATATATCGGCTTCAAATGAGTCAATCAACAATCCTACAAGATCCAATTGTGGACGCCCATCCAGAAACAGTTTGTTAGCAGAAGTTATATTTTATATTGTTGGTCACATCATTGCAGAGGAAGAGAATAAAGCAGGAAGAAGATATAGCTAGATAGTATTAAAGTACAACTATGTATACGTATGCGAAGTGTAAAATACATCCAAATTGCTTTTAATCATTTCACAGTAAATAAAAATTATATAAAAATTTTTTGTTCTGGCAAATCCAATTGTTACCTATACGTAACATTTTGTTATTAAAAAACTAAGAACTTTTATTTTTTTTTAACTTGATAAATAAGTATTTAAATATAATTTTAACAATAAAATGCAATAAAAAAACAAAATTTGTTTTTTTTTCTACTTTTGGGAACTAATGAGTTAATAGCTGTAAAAAAATATTTTTCCAAACTGTATTTTCTAAAAAAAAGTATGTGCCCTTTTGAAAAACGTATGCTTAAAATTTGAATTATTTTAATTATCATAGACTACCAACAATTTATGGTAAATTATAAGAAAAACTAAAACAATTAATTGTGCATAAAAAATAAATTTACATTCTACTTTATTAACAGCCCGTCGGGACCAATGAGAAAATTAATCCCTTTGTAAATGTATATTGGGTCTTTAGTAAAACTCATACTTAGAGTACAGTAAATCTCGCTAAATTCAAAAACCACTTAACCGATTACAATAAAAATGTGTTTTTAAAATTTTGTTGATAATTTTTCGACTGTTCTAAAAACCATTCAAATTTCGTCATTTTATGTCATGTGGAACAATTTCACCCAATCATATCAACATTAGACTGATAATTGCATTCAGTGCAATTTTCAATCCCTATGATGACAACACGATCGAGTTTGACAACTTCATCCAAATAAATTTCAAAATGTCACGTTTCGGCAATGAGAATGTTCAAAGTATAAATGCGCTATACAAAGAAAAAATTCCCAGAAATACAACCTACAGTCACAAATATATTTGGCGAATATTCATGGAATTTTGCTGCGGACGAGAATATGAGTTGAATGAACAACGAATTTAATGTTAACTTAAATTTTAATAATTGTACTTTCATTAACTCTACTTTCATAAATAAATGTTTCGTTATGTTGAGTTACGATTTTTTTTTTCGAAAAATTATCCGCCGAATATCTTTCGGACATTGATGAATGCCTCATAATTTCATGACAAATTTCTCAAGCTCGTTGCTTGGTAACAGCACTCAGGCTTCGTGTTGTTACCAAGGAACGAGCTTTCGATTGTCATGAAATTATATCGTCTGTTATCAATGTCCTAGGGATATTACTACTGAATATAAAATTAAGCACCAGGTTTGCGACAGATGCATATCGTAATTATTGATACAAGGTACATTCTGAAGTGATCTTAGCAAAAAACAGACTGCTATCGAAAATATCGATTATTTATTTCCAATTTGTTTCTAATTTATTTACGACTTAAAATAAAGTACTATATAAATATAAAAATCAATAATATTTAAACAAATTAATATGAAGTAAAAAATAGTAAAAAAATTAAAATGAATCGTTTTCAAATGCATTTTCGTATAACAATGTAATAATTTACTTATTTTAACTTTCCTTTACTATTTTTATTATATTTATGTAATAGAGATAAAAAGGCAAAAACAAAATTACCATAATCCGCTTATCGCTTCTTTAACATTACCGGTTCTAGTCAATCACTCTTCGTTCATTTAAAAATACCGTATTTTCAGGATTGCATTTCCGCTCAAAGATCGGAATGATAAAACGCCTTAAAAGAAGCCAAACAGAATTACGACTGTAAAACCAACGTCTAACTTATTCTAGTCTGTTAAGGACGCATCACGCTAAATCCTTAACTGTCTCAACGCGTTTCGGGATGCTGTTACGCTTTAAGGACGAAGGACAAGGATTACAGACGTCAAGCAACGAGATAGGCCTCGCCTCTAACGACCCTTATGAACTCTCGAGATATTACGAGCTCTTAAAGTATATGCATGAATTAATGTTTGTAGTTTCCAAAGACAAACAACGTTGCCTTTAACTTGTATATGAGTATACAACAAAATTCAGGCAACAACTTATGATCTTATGTCACTTTAAAGACATAAGTTGTATCTCTAACTGAAAATAGTTGAAGTAAAATCACGAGTAATATTATATAAAGGATATTTCTTGATATTTAAAGAAATATAAAATCTTTAAAATAAAGATTTTTACGGAAAAATAATTGAAACCCAATAAAAACATTAACAGATCGCAAAGATGACATAAAGTGCAAAAGTTAAGCGTAAGAAAATATGTACGGAAATTTATTAAATCTAACAAAAACTAATAGAGAGATCTATATTATTTGAGTCTACTTTTTTAAATAATATTCAATTTTTACTATAGAATGAAAAACAATCAGATTATTTCAAATCTTGGTAATGGTTTCATATTATGTAGAAAAGTATTTTCATTAATTAATTCCATTATTAATTTCGATTAATAAAAGCAACAACCTCTCTAAAGCTTTTTATGTTCTTTAAACCTTATCCGGAAAAGGTGTGTCCATCAGACATACTTTAGATATGTTATTGTATATTGCAAAAATCACAGTATATTATTATCTCAAAAATGAGGACTTTGCCGACTTTAAAGTAAACTTATTGGAGAACAACTAAATATTTTGAACTCATCCAAATTCTATTTATCTATAAGCGAGACTCCTACAGCCTCTGCCGCTTCTTGCATTTTGACTGCCATCGTTTTCTGTCCATTCATTCGTCTTCTTTGATGACTCTATCTCTCAATATGTGCCATACATTTTCTTTCCAGGCAACTAATGGCCTTCTTCTTCTTTATTGTGGTATGTAATTTAAAGCTTTCTTTGGCCATCTATCTTCATTCATTTGCTTCACATGACCATACGACACTGATTGTCTCGTTTAAATTATGTCTACACTGGTATATACAGTGTTTGTCCTCTTTCTAATATCTTTATTTCTAATATGATCTTTTTTGGATACACCACACGCTCTCCTTAGAAAATCCATTTCTACTACTTGTATTCTTATTCTATCTTTTTTCGTTGCGTAAGATGAGTAGTGGGTGGTAGGAGTCCCAAGTGCAGTACCAGGCAGAACAGTGTCATTAAAATAATTATTTGATATTATTCTAAGTTGATCACCATTGGGTATGTCATTTAAAGAGGAACCATAGCTTTGTACAAAAAGGTATTTGCTAATGAGAGAAGAAGGATAAGAATTCTCAATAAGAATATTTCTAAGTGATTGAAGGGCTTCCCTTCGAATTTTGTCGAAAGTGCATTCTTGGACCTTTTAGTTCTTTTTCACACTAATTTTGTTTTTTATATATGATTTTTTTACATACTTGTACAACTACTACATGTTTTTTTGCTGTGCTAATTTTATGAAAATGGTTAAATTAATTTAGTTTAATTTATTGTTTATAAAACATAATTATACAATGTCCATTGTCGTAAGCTTCTTTACAATTGTTAATATCACTTACTGCTACATATCTTTTTGAGGTAACATACTTAATAACTTTTCATTGCATGTTAGGTTTTTCATATTGTTCTTTTTAGATAAACTGATGATGCTATCAAATTGGATAGCGAAACGTTTTCAATAAATAGATAAAGTAGCCATCATCTTTG